GTCGTGGATTGGGATACTCCGGCCTGGCGGAGAAGAGGGATGTGAGGGAACTGGTGGAAAACTCGGGTAACTGTCTGCGAACAAGCTGTTTACCTTCACTGACACGTATACACTTGTTTTTAACAATTCAGTTTGATCATGATCATGCAATGTTTGCTTTTGAAGGGGAGCTGATGCAAGGGGATTATATGTAAATAAATTTCAATCCATGAATTCAAAATATTTATCATAGAAGATGTTTCATTGTCTGAAAAAAAAAAAATGTTTTGTTTTCATTCCTCCTTGTCAGGTATTGCCATAAACGGGGCTGGATGAAGTCCACCCTCATCATGTCTGTCCCGCAGACCAATGCATCCAAAGGGAAGGTCATGTTGAAGGAGTACAATGGCAGGCGCATCGAAACAGAGCACATCTTCAAATGGATGACTGCGCATGTTGCCTCGCGCATCAAAACCATACGGTTCTCTGAGCAATTAATGGATGACTGGTATCAGATGGAAAAGCAGCCAGTGAAGATGTTCTTGTTTGCCAGACTGCTTCAGCCCCCGGCGTTTTTCTCAGCTCTCAGCGTCAAATTCACAGGGCGCATCGAGTTTATCTTCGTCGATGTGCACATCTGGGACAACACCAGCTGTCTGGAGGAGATTGGGGTGCAGCAAATGCCCTCATACATCCTCAGAACACCAGAAGGCATCTACAGATACGGCAATAGCACCGGGGAATTCATTTCTTTGCATGCCATGGATGCATTTCTTCGATCCGTACAGCCAGAAGTCAATGACTTGTTCATTTTGAGCTTGGTTATGGTCAATCTAATGGCTTGGATGGACCTTTTCATTACACAGGGAGCCACCATAAAACGCTTTGTGGTTTTAATCAGCACACTGGGGACTTATAACTCCTTACTCATCATTTCCTGGCTGCCCATCCTTGGTTTTCTGCAGCTTCCATACCTGGATAACTTTTATGAGTACAGCCTGAAACTGTTGCGTTACGCAGACACCACTACTATTGCCTCATGGGTTCGAGCCGACTGGACCTTCTATTCATCTCACCCAGCTCTCTTCCTCAGCACTTATCTAGCCCATGGCCTTCTCATCGACTACTTTGAGAAGAAAAGAAGATGTAGCAACGAAGACCAAAACGCAAACAACCTAGAGTGGTTGTCAAGTCTCTGGGATTGGTACACCAGCTACTTAGTACATCCCATTGCCTCGTTCCAGAACTTTGAGTCCGACTGGGATGATGATCCCAATTTCCTTTTGCAAAGATTGGCATTCCCAGACCTCTGGCTTCGCCCGCTTGTTCCAATAGACTACATCAAGAACCTGTCCACCTGGAAGTTCAGACTTGCACAGTCTGAGAGGCTCAACCCAGTGGTAGGTGACAACCTACAAAAAACCATGACAAACCCAAATGGCGGCTCCAGCGGGGACCAGGAAGTGCATCACTACAGTTCTGAAGTTCTTCACAATAATGACGGGTGTTCGGCTGCAACGAAGTCAGAGGAGTCGTGGTCTGGTGGAGGGGAACAGGACACTGATTGGTCTCATTGGCCTTGTGGCATGCTCCACTGCACTGAGTGTGTTGTATGTCTCGAGAACTTTGAAACCGATTGCCTTGTCATGGGTTTACCGTGTGGCCATGTTTTTCACCAGCAGTGCATCGTGGTCTGGCTAGCTGGTGGGCGGCACTGTTGCCCTGTTTGCCGGTGGCCATCGTACAAGAAAAAACCCACAAGACAACATGCAACTGAACAGCTTGAACCAGAATAGTCCTGGTGCGATTAGTTTATGTCTTGCTTCCTTCACTTATTTAAAAAATAAATAAATTTGACTTAATGTGTTCATCTTTAGCCTTTATATTCATAACATTGGCTCCTGGGTTTTTGTTGGTGGTTTTAACTTGCACAGGTATTAATTAAAATCTTTTTTTTTAATGGGGAAAAAACTTGATTTGAGTCATATACCTTGTACTTAGATTAAAAAAAAAGAATAGATTTTAAAAGCTAAATTATGCAAATGATAAAATATTGAATGGTAAATTAAATGCATATGGTTGAAAAGTTTCTGTTGTAGCACTCATCATCCCAATCAGACAGAAGAGAAGTCCACATGTTCCTGTACTTGAGAATTACATCTTGTGTTCAGTGTGTCTCCAAATGTGAATAATCTTTCTAAAATTGAGCTACCTTACTAAGTCATTGGGGAATTGAAGACTTAAGGAGATGTGAGTATTTATATAAAGAATTGACCATCTGGGCATGTCATAATTTTATTTTAAAATTTTTTGAAAAGAAGAATAGCTTTACATAACTTGAATAAAACTGCCCTGTGCATAATTGAAAATGGCTAAGGCTTTGACATGCTATTCTTAATGGCTCCATCTGCAATTAGGTTATTGTCATGTTGGAACATGTTAGTTTGTTTATTTTTGAACAGCGTTTTGCCACTAACACTAATAAAGAATTTACCCCCTTGACTTTTGCTGTTTGTCAGAGTTTAAAGGTGATTTGGGAATTTATTTAAACCTGTAATTTTGTTCAATTCAATAAAGTCAATTTGTTTTCCACCGGTGGTACACATGGATCCCCTCAGTTTTATCCAGTCACTACCATTTTAAAGTAAAATGGTAAGTAAACGTTTAAACATGAGTTAGCCTACACAATCTACTCATCTGTAGTTTTTACATGTTAATTATGCAGTAGTCTTCCTTGCACCTTCACCTTATGTCTCTTACAATAATTGACCATATCACAAAATATAATACCTCAGGTATTAATGAGGTTTATTGAGGTGCTGTTACTTTTCATATATTTTTTTCACATTACAGTAATGAGAACGTGGCTACGGTATTTTGCATAATTTTGGGGAAATGTGCTTATTTGCGCTGAAAATAATGCCACAATGCGAACAAAAAAATGTTTATATATGCAAAATATATGTTTACTTTTGATTTTTGGGGGGATTGGGAGAAAAGCGATCTCACGTGACATTTGCCACTATCATCAAAATAAAATGACAAAAATAATTTACACTCTTTGAAAGAGATCGCTTGCTCAGTTGTATTTTACATTAGTAACAAACTAACTCTACAGAAGTATGTATCTTAGCAGCTGTCTCAACTAATGATCCAATTTGAGCAAAAAACATTTATTTATAGAAGAATACGGATCATTGCATAAGAGCGTAGAAGGACTAAATCAATGAATGAAATCATTTTAAAACTGACTATTTATTTTCTATGAACGTGTGACGTATGCGTCACGTTGGGTGTGCGTACCGCGCGTGCGTTGCTCTGTCACTACGTGCGCTAGCGCTGGGGCTAATCTACAGTGTGCTGGAGCGAAATTGCTGTCGAGGTTCATCACTTTTATAATGTTTTGCTGAAACCGGTGGCATATTTGTAATCTTACATCCAACACCCAGAATCAGAAGAGGCAAGCATGCTGCGCGTCTGTTGGAAAGGGGCACATGCAGCAGCGCGGGTGAGTTTTATTTGGCTAGAGCGGTCATTCAGTGACCCACAGCGAGGCCCGATGTTTCTTACGCGTATCGTACAATTACGGATTATACTAGACTCTGTCGTGTTTGTCAAGTTAAACGGTGATTATGTTAAACTAATCTTCTTAACGAGTTGATAGTTTCATTAGTTGAGATTTGTTTATGTGCAGTTTAAGTGGTACACCAGGATAGAATGCTGCTGTACGTCAACGACGTAACGTGGGCTCGAAAGAGGCGTTCAGAGTGTGATTGGCAGGTTCTTCGAGCCAATGATATCTCACGACTAAGGGAGTGACGCCTCCCTCCACCAATAAAAACACAGCATGTACACCTGCGTAAATATGGGCGGGCTGTGTAAGATTCATATTTTCTGTTACCCGGATAACCAACATAGCTATCTGCTGTCTGAAAACGTTTCATTTTACATGTATTCACCTTTATTTATATTTAATAGTATTTTACTCTTGTTCTGACATTTTTATCAAAGAGCTACACCCTGTACACGCCGTGAACTGTTTATAGGTTTTGTCTAATGGAAGGACGTGACCTTGCCGGTGAAAAGTTCAGAAAGTTTCCTCACAAACGCTGCTAATCCATGTCTGCTGCGCTGCTTCTGTGTAAATTAGTCTAATGAATGATCGATGCTATGTGTAACAGCTGCTACACTTTAAACCCTCTTATTATAGTTGATAAAGAAAAATAAACGAATGTTGCAGCCGTTCATTCATTCAATCATTCATTGTTGTGTATTGTGTTTTACTGGATGCTTGATGCACAATGATGGTCATCATGTTTTGAGAATCCACCTTTCTTCTGTTTTTGTTTAAAGTCACAAAAAGACCAACAATGGAAACCTGTTTTTACTGAACAGCATTTGCTTCTGGAATGAATGGCTGTTTGTGATTAATTAATGTAGCAGAGGTTGTTGTCAGTGTAAAAGGAAGCTATTACTTTTAATACTGTAGCTTATGATGCAATATATTTTGCTGTAGTGCACGTGAGATGGTGATTTGTTTTTGTTTCTCTGCAGCAATGTGTGTGTGGTAAAGTGAAGGCCCACCCGTTGCAGCACTGCCGCAAATACTCCACGGCTGGAGACTCTGGGTACGACATCAAACTGTGAATTTAACCTTAAACACACAGGGCTACGATAATATCGCAGACTTACTCATTTTAAAAAGTTGGGTGTTTTTGTATTATTTTAACACATTGTGCATTAGACATGTTTGAAATGAATGTTAGGTTTACCTTGGTCTTGTGTGTGAGACAAATGTCAAATCACACTCGACTGCACCTTAAATGAGATCTTTTTGTACTGCAGATCTAGTGCTGGGAAAATAGTGGCTGCTAGTCTTTTATCGGTCGGTGGTGGTCTTGGCGGTGCAATCCTTTATGCCAAATGGGACCCGAAGTTTCGGGCAAATGTTGAGAAGAGCGTTCCGTACTCAGATCAACTGTTTGAGATGGCGCTTGGGCCGCCCCCTCCTCCACTCGTCCTTTTACAGAAGAAACCAGTAAGAGTTACAATCACTTTCACTTTTGCTTTGTCTGCCTTTGATTCTTAGACCAGATTCATCTATGCAGCTGTCTGTGCTTCTGTTGTACTGATGTATGCCTTCAATGATGTCAAATCTAAGATTTTCTTTTATATATATATATAGGGAAAGATCGAACCCCTGCAAATCTTCTCATTGTCAGAAGCATCTAAGGAGTCCAAGCAGCCTAAAGATAAAGCCAAGAAGTCCGATCCAGCACCTGTGGAAGCTCCAGCTGCTGTAGAGGAAGCACCGGCACCAACCGCACAGACACTCGAGGGTGAGTGAGACTTGCATGCAGACACTAGCAGCTTTCAGATGTGCAACAGCTACGCTTCACAGTTGCAGACACATTAACGAAATTTTATGTGCAAAAAAACAATTGTCTGTTGTCAATATTACGTAGAAGTTTAAGAGACTGGTGTTATCACAAAGACAGAGACATTTAATCAAGAATGATCATTTTTCCAAGAACACACATGATCCTAAACTTGTCCAGATGCCATTATATTGGAACTGAAAGTTTTAGTTGGTTGATCTTAATGGAATTAGTGTGGCCACTTTACATGGATTAAGGCCTGTTCACACCAGAATGAAACAAAACACACTCAGGAACTTGATCATGCAAATTTTACTCGCTTTAATGCACTGATACAGTTACAGTTAGGGCTGTACGATTAAAGGGGTCCTATTATGCTTTTTCACTTTTTTAATTTTAGTCAGTGTGTAGTGTGTATGTTTGGGCATAAAAAAGATCTAGAAAGTTAAAAATCTCAAAGTCCACTCCAAAGGGAGATATTTCGTTTTTTTTTTAAATCCCTTTTCAAGAACTACAACGAACGGCTCGTTTGGACTACAGATCTCGATTCCATTTCGATTTATCGTGCAGCCCTAGTTACAGTGTTATATAGGATTATAATGAATTGTAGCATTATGCAAATAATTGAGGTAAGCTATTAGCAATAATAGTTCAGATGCTGTAATAAAATGTTTTTGTATCTGTATAGTATTAAATATGTTAAACATATTTTCATGTGATTTTCATATGGCTTGTTTTTGTTCCTCTTGTTCGTTCTTATTATAATTGTTTTATATGATTATGTTGGAGACTTGATTGTCAAGCTGCATTGACAGCTTTCTACCTGTCCGGACAAATGCACCAAAACTGTTTTTTTTTTCTTTTTTAAACATTGTAAAAAAACAACAACATCCTAATGCAGTTTAAATGAAAAGTGTTGTTTAGTGGTCCACTGATACAGGTTTTTCATATAATAATACCAGTGTGTACATGTTAATACATATTAATTAGTCTTTGAGATGTCTATCGGTAGATTTTCAGAACAGACACATCTATTAAGCATCCGACTGGACGTGGTTATCAGCCAATATATCTGTCTGTCATGAGTCTTAGTCAAATATTTGCTCTTGGTGTGAATCGGTCTTTGTCCTAATATCACAGTCAATGAAACCAAAGAAAAACTGGAGCTACCTCCTAAATCCATACTTGTAGGTACTACATTTGAAAGAGGAATGAACTGTGTGACAGTTTAAACATATGTATATCTGTGTAGTTTGAATTTGTGTAATGTGAATGAAACCTGGACTTGCTATAGTACATCCGCCAAGCTGTCATTTGTCATATGACCTACCAGCATCAGTCGTGTTGATTCACTGCCATTCACCACTCCTCTCCTGTGGCCTGATGGGATGATAAATTGTCCATTGGATGCACACTTCAAAATCTCGCTGAACGTAGGAGGTCATCTGGGATACTTTTTACTTACTGTTAATTCGGACATACTGCTCAGTTCATATACCAGCTGATTCATTTATCGCCCACTATATAGTAGGGAAGTATTAATAGGGAATATTCAGACACAGAATGCGCCATTTCACTGTTGAAGCAGATACACAACCATCAGCTGAATGTCTAATCAACCTACATATGCAAATGATCAAAGGATCAGAACTAGTTAATGTCCTGAAAATGATGTCACATTTGATCGCTGATGTAGTCGTGCACCGTTGCTGATCTGTGATCTATATTTCTCATGGAGTCCTACTGTTGTTGCAGAAGCCTCAGTAGAGGCAGCTCATATTATTTCGGCTATCGGCGAGGTGCCATCTGTGCCTGCGCCGGGTACAAGTGACGAAAGCCCACCTGGCCATACGGCGGCAGGTCAGCACTGGATCATTCACACAGCCTTCTGCTTATAACAACTGATCCAGAACCTGTTTGTCTTGATTGCATCAGTTGTTGTGCAGATGGCATCCGTGTCTCTTCCTCTCTGCATGCTCTCAAACTTCACACCTTCTGGATCCCTTTCCATCCTTCTGCACAGTTCTATCATGCGACCCATGCTAATATGTTCTGTTCGTTGTGTTTGTTGAGTTCTTTACTAACACAATGTTGCTAATCAGTATTCTTTCCCAGTAACTAACAAATGTGCATCCTCATTTGTAATGATCTGTGCCAAATATGCTAGATTGCTAGTCTAGAACCATCATCTGAAAATGAACAAATATATCAGGCTATGAATCAGTTTGGCCTGTCAAACACTGATTCAGATCACAGATCCCTAAGTTTTTTTTTTTTTTTTACTGATTCATTAAAAAAGACCTGATCAGTCGATCATTTGTTCACAGATGATGTTGTGCATGCAGCCAGCGAAGGCAGTGCACTACAAAGGCGCATTTATCGTCTTTTGTTGTTTCACATCACCTGGTGTATATTTTGGTTCAGACGGCTTGTGTAAAATATAACATTATTTCCCGTTGCGCTGTAATAGCTCAGTGTTTTGTGTTTGTGTGTATGTAGGTGAAGAGTGTAAGGATCATCATGAGCCTGAGCTGAAGGAGAGGCCAGCGGAGGAAGTGACCGCTCGACTGGCTCAACAGGATAAAGCTGAGCAGGATGCTTTAGCAGGTGGGTGACCACACAATCTGCACATGAACCAGTTAATATAGAACTACTCTACAGGTTTGCAGGTTGCCTCATCCTAATAGGCTCTCACTCTTTTCCCCAGTAAGTTCTCATCTACTTTTTAGTGCCTAAGAGACATGTATATTTAGTGAGTGCTTGTGTGTGTCTCAGCTCTGACTGCTGGACTGGAGGAAAGTCTGGGCAGCACAGCTAAGACCACCCTGCAGGCCATCGGAGCTCAGGAGGCTGCGCTGACAGCCATCGCTGCACATACAAACAAACTCAAGGAAGCCATGGACTCAGAGGTGAAAACACACACATAATCACTTGGTCACCCACTCTGCCGATGAGATAAATCAGGTCTGTTCGATAAGAGAGACATCCAAAATGTGCTCCAGGTTTGGGATGCACTGCTGTAGCAATGTACTACACTCAAAACACCTTAGCAATGGCATAGCAATGATCTGGCAACCACCAAGAAGACTCTAGCATTGGCGTGGTGACCTCTGACATTTTCCTCTGTTGTAAAAATATTGCATTAATATTAACATTATCAGGGCCGTGCACAGACATTATGGGGGGCAGGTGCTCAAGAAAAAAAAAAGGCACCCCCTCTCGTAATTACTTAAAAAAAAAAAAAAAAAGTTATATACTGCTAAAAATCTTTTCATTACTTACAGTACTTAACATTGTAGGCTATAGGGCTGTTACCAATCAAATAGGGCTGCCACTAATGACTATTTTTATTTCGATTAATCTATCGACTAATTTATCGATTAATCTAAACAATTAATTTCCCACAAAAAAAAATCAACAATTTTACTTAAGAATATTTTATTAAACTATATTGATTAAACCAAATGAAATCCAAAAGTAAAAAAGTAAAGTGCAAGAAGCAAGTGCCCATCTCATATTCCCAATCACTGAAATCAAAGTTCAGTATTATAGTGTAAGAATTACAACATATCCACGTGTTCTAGTCTACTAATAATAAAATCATAATCAAAAAACACTTTTTAAAGGAGTATTTACCAGAAATATTATTTATTTAGGAGAAAAATGTAAATGTGCTGTATTTCTGAAAAAGTTTCTTTAAAATGTTTTTAATAAAATCAATTAATTGGAGATGCTTTTGATTATTAAAATTTAATGGAACCATTAAAATGGAATCCAGAAAATAATGGAAAACAGAATTTGGTAAAGATAAAACTGTAAAACTCAATAAATTAGACAGGCTTTTTGATTAATAAAATGTAATTTAACCATTAAAAGAGTATAGAAAAATGAAAATGGAAAAAACTGAATTTGGAAATAAAACGGA